CGGACTTCCAGATCTTGAGATTTTTCTGGCCCTAACCTTCCAGTTACAGAATCCAGAAATCTGTAAAGTCGGGAATTCGGGAAATCTGGAAAACTTCGATTCCGGAAAGATGGAAGATTTCTATTCCGGAAATCTGGAGTTCTGGAAATCTGGAAATAATCTATGCTGGGATATCTGGAGCTCTAGGAATCCAGACAGCTGGAAATCTGGAAATCAAGAGAACGAGAAACTTTGAACTTTGAAGCTTTGGAAAAACTGGACCCTAAAAAGGACCATTTTTTCAGAAGATTCTTTCTAATATGGAAAGAGGAGTGGTTCGGGACAATATATGTTCGACTTCATCAGGAAATTGATATTGAGTTTATGGTAGTACCAGCCTCACCCAAACTAAAGGGCTGCATGTGTGCCGCCTCTGGGATGAGCACGGAGATTTGGATTTGTAGAAAGGGAAGGACAAGGTAATTTAGACCTCTGATCATCGTGTTGGTTCTGAATTTTGTCCTTAGCGGCGGTCCAAACCCCTAAACCCTAAACACCAAACACACACCGCTAACTTTGTGTATCCATGTAATAGAATCCAACTAAGTAGAATTTAGCACAAATTTCAGGATCGAAAAAGATGAATCCAAGAATCTGTGATTTTTTGTGTGAAGTGCACAGGATCAAAGAATTCTTCTCCAAGTTAGTATAATATCTATACGGAGAGACACAAGAGCGATGGATTCAAGATTTCCTCTGAGAAAAGAAGGATCACAGGACCTGAGAATTCCTCCAAGATCACAAGATCTTTATATTCAACGCCAGTTGAATAGAGAATTTGGATAAAGAAAATGAGGAGACCAGGATGTGAGGTTCTGTTTCACGCTATTCACGCTAGGAGCATATTTTCAAAGGGATTCATATAGACAAAACAGGAGTCCAAGATTTGAGAACTCCTTTAGATTGGAAGCACGTTCAGGAACGGATTTATATCGCCGAAATCAGCCTGACAATAGAGAAAACATGAGACCAGGACCAAGCATTATCCCGTAAATTCGTAGACGACTATCAAAATGGAAGCCAATTTAGTAGAGGAATCATATAGAGCAAATCCGGAGCCCAGAATCCAAAAAATCCTTTTTGAACTAGAAGCACATTGAGTGAATGGAGAATGGCTTATATAAGCCCAAGCAGGAACCGAGGATCTGCGAATTCCTTTTCAAATTAAGAGCATGTAGTGAGAGAGACAGAGATATATGTGCATATATACACAGAAGAAATACAGAGCATACCTTCTGGACTTTTCCAAACGTAACAATACTTTGGAGGATCTTCCTGAGAATTCCAACGCGTTCCACAAATTTTTTTACTGTGTATCATTCACTAAAGCCCATCACCCAGGACATGGTAACAAGAAAGCCAGTAGGGGTTGCTTGCTTATCATACTATTTGACTATTCAATCTTTTTGGGGGTTGCCTAAATTTTTATATATATATATAATACACATATCCACACTTATATCTCACCTTGTTACATGTCTCGTATTTAACCCTAGACCCTAAACCCTATGCAGGCCCATCGTAGTCCCTGCAGGAAGGGCATGAGCCCTAATTCAACTCTAAACCCAGACCGCAAACCCTAAACCCTAAACATTAAAAAAACATCTAAACACATGTCAAAGTGGGCTCGTTTTGGGGCCTGGACCACTGGGGTCGTAGACGGGCAGGCAGTTTAGGTTTCAGAGTGGAATCCTACCCAACTGTTGGGTTTAGAGCTGCCGCTGCTGCACCGTGGCTAGCAGTCCTTCCATATCCCGATAGATCCATACATGTGCTAGTTTCCCAAAGTAAGGGGACCCGAATATTTTTTCGAAAGCGAAGGGCCAAACGTCTTAGCCCATCTGCACCGACCGGGGACCCCAATATGGACCCCTAAATATTGTAGTCCTTCTTGTAGGGGACCCAGATAATGGTACCCCTAATTTTGGGAAATCCCCACTTATATCCGAACATCTGACTCTTGCACCTATGACCATGGCTGCTGCAACTACTACTGCCATCATGAGGTTTTGCTTTTTATTGCTAGCAGCCTAGCCCCTTGATCCCAAAACCCTGAACCCTAAACTCTAAGCCATACAAACAACTCTAATCTAAAACCTAAACCCTAAACCCATTTGGGCCATCAGTGTCAACATTGCCAGGTTCTGCCCTCTCCTGCCTTCTCGGTGTTGGTCTCAGGCTTCCACGCCTCCCCTGCACGTTTCCTGCGATGGTAGGGCTTAGGGTTTAGGGCTCAGGGTTTAGGGTTTTGGGCTTAGGTTTGGGGTTTAGGGTGTAGGGTTTCGGGCTTAGGACCTAAGGTTTTGAGCTGAGGGTTTAGGGTTTAGGGTTTTAGGGCGTAGGGTTTGGGGGTTAGGGATTGGGGTTGAGGGTTTAGGTTTTGCAGTTTGGGGGTTTAGGGGTTAGGAATTCGGGCCTAGAATCTCAAGTCCAAGCCTTTGCTTTTTAAGCAGCTTAGAGGTTTTTGGTTATCACCCCACCCTGGCAGTCAGTAGGGCGTAGGGCGTAGGGCGTAGGGTTTAGGGTTTAGGGTGTAGGGCTTAGGGTTTAGGTGTCCCATGAGTCCCTAGAACCCATTGATGGATCCAAGGACGTTTCGTTGAGTGGGCGTTCGATCCAAGAGTAGATATCGTTTTGCTTTCTGGGACGTTCGATGTTGAAATAACTATAACATAGAATTTGGGCTCACAAACACATTGCGAGCGAAGGAAGAGAAATGGCTAGAGATGCGAAATGAAACAGGATTTAACCTAAAACCCTGAACCCCGAACCCTCACCTTTTGGGTCTTTCTTTTTGTTTTTGGGTATGTCGCCCGTTTGCTGTGGAAGACCAACCTCCGGACAGAGATTTTGTGATCGCCTCCAGAACCGCTATAGGGGTTTGGGGGTGTCTGCGCCTCGGGCAACCCAGACAACCCCAGACCCAAAACCACGAAATCACAACCTCGGCCCCATGATGGTTTAATTAGATAGATCAGTACATACAGGTAGAAAGGAAAGGGTTTGAGGATTAGGGCTTTGGGTTTAGGGATTAAGGTTAAGGCTTCAGGGATGAAGGTTTAGGGTCCCAGTATTAGGTGGGGAAGTCCGTGCTTATGCTGCTGGTAAGACAAGAGTCGGTATCATGCGGGTCATCGAAACGGCTGACTTTCGAAGGTGACCTGGCCGTGACAAACAATTTTCTGAAAGACAACTACGGATCATCATTTCTATCAGCATAGCTATATTTCCAAAAGAGGATCCTCCTTGTATTCTCGCAACCAGTATACTATTTCTGGTGGAGATCCTCATACAACATTCGAAAGCCCCCCATACCCACCTGAGCTATAGTCTAAAGAGGCTATTCGGGGGGAGCTTCGACCCTAAACCCCAAACCCTAGGGTTATTAAGGGGAATACTGGGAGTTAGATTATAGCTCACCTGAGAAACTTTGTTTTCTGTGAGTTGCCAGGCTAAGCTGGTCCTCGACGCCACACACTCAGCACTATGATGCTAATTAATCAACTAGGGGTTTTAGTTTTAGGGGTTAGGGTCCCCCTTAAGTAGATAGAATATGGGGGTTATGGGGATCTTACTACAATATACCCAAAGCCATAATCTATCTACTTAAGGGGGATTATAGGGTTTAGGGTTTAGGATTCAGGGTTTACGGCATCAATCCTGATCAACTGGGAGTCGGGCACAACTGGGGGCTCTCAGATCCTTTGAAGGGGCGGTTTAGGGTTTAGGCTTTAGGGTTTAGGGATTAGGGTTATAGGGTTTAGGGTTCTAGGGTTTAGGGTTTAGGGTTTAGGGTTCTAGGGTTTAGGGTTTAGGGTTCAGGGTTTACCCGACGGGTTCATTTC